GCTGACAACCCTGGGCTCCACGGTAGAAAACGTGTTTTTCGACATGCCCTCATAACCCGAATTGTTTGGGAACCTGGGTGGCCAGCGGAGAAAATCTGTGAATGAGGTCCCTTGCCTGATATAGTCGTGACTATGGGAAAATTATGAAACTCGGCAAAATCAATATGGCGGCGCCGGCAGCGGCCATTTTGTGATTTTTTCACTTTTTCGAAAAATTCAAACGCACTTTTAGCCTACATGGCAACATCGGAGCTCTTCGCCTTGTATGGACCGGTCGTGAGTCTCCGCTGGCTCTTTCGAATGACGTGAAAATTTTCCCCGATTTTAGGGTAATTTCGGAGATTTACCCCAAAAAGGTGAAAAGTAGAAGGAGCCGTTTAAGAATTTCAAAAATGCTTTTCCTCGACGGAGGGTACTCCCCGAAATGACATTTGGCCATTTTCATCGTCGTCACCTGGCAACCCCTGCGTGTTGCGGCGATTTGAAAAATTTTGCCCATTTTTTACTTTGTCGACTCTAGCGCGGTCAGTATTGCCACTAGGAAAATGGTAAAAAGTGCATCGGATGCACTATCGAGTTGGCCACACCGGTACGGAGCCGGATTTTCAAAATTCAAGATGGCGGCTAAACCAGCGGCCTTTTTATCCGAAAAATTGGGTATCGTCACCACGTCGAGCCGATTTTGACGCACTTGGCGACATTTGTCAGAGTACTTTCGGGGAAACATTTTTTAGGCAAGTAACTAAAGTGTTGCCAGGTGAAAAAAAATCTCAAAAATTTTTGATACTTTATGAGATTTTTAAGGAAACAATTTTTGTCGAATTTTTGAACTTTTTTGATGCAAATATTTTAATTTTAACTTTTCAAGATACCCGATGAAAAAAATAGAACGATCGACTGGCAACACTGAGAGCAAACAACGTTTGAAATTCAACCTCGATTTTGACCAACTTGGCAATCCCGCAGGTATTTGGCATATATGGAGCTATTGTGTATCTCTATAGACTCTTTCATGTGGTGGAAAAAAATTACCCGATTTTAGGGTAGTTTTTGAGATTTACCCCAAAAACTGTAAATGTCAAAGAAATAATTTTAGAACTTGTAAATTGGTATCCTTCGATGGAGGGCACACCTCGAAATCATATTTGACTATTTTCGTTGCCTACACCTGGCAACCCTGGCACCTACGGTGGTTTGAAGATTTAATGCCCACTATTCACGTTTTGGACTCTAGCGCAGTCATTATCGCCGCTAGGAAAATAATAGAAACTGCATTGGATGCGCCAATAGGTGGGCTACATAGGTTTGAGGTTGAAATTTCAAAATTCAAGATGGCGGCTTAAACAGTGACCATTTTATCTAGAAAATTGATCATTTTTCATGACTTTCACTTTATAGAGCTGATTTTGGCGTTTTTGGTAACATTTTTAAGAATACTTCTAACAAAAAATATGTATTTAGCTGAGGTGTTGCCAGACGAAAAAAAAATCTGTAAATTTTTATATAGTGAGATTTTTGAGAAACTTTCATGTATGTCATTTATGAAAATTATTTAAAAATCTTTTTACAATGATTTCACTGTTTAACAAAATTTTTACTGTTGCATTTATAACATAATTGATGGAATAATTTGAGTGATCGACTAGCAACACTGATAATAGTCACCATATTAATTTCAGAATGATTCTGACCGAGCTGGCGACTCGGAAGCTTTATTGCATATATAGACCGTTTGTGTATCTTTACTCAATCTTTACGTGGTGAGAAAAAAATTCCAATATTTTCGCCAGAAAAATAAAGCGAGTGAGACATTATCATTCGGTTAGATTAGAACTGTGACTAAAACAAAAAGCGAGCGAAGCGAGCCATAAAGAGTGACCTTTAGGAAGATTTGATTAATTGGTAAGGTAAGAACTGTGACTAAAATAAAATGCGAGCGAAGCGAGCCATAAAGAACACCACCAATAGAAATCTGATCAATCAGTTACATTAGAACTGTGAATAAAACAAAAAGCGAGCGAAGCGAGGCATAATTAAGGAGACCTGGTCAATCGTTTAAGGGACTGTGACCAAAATAAAGAGCGAGCGAAGCGAGCCATAATGCGAGACCATTAAAAGAGACCTGATCAATCGGTTATGTTAGCACTGTGATTCAAACAAAAAGCGAGCGAAGCGAGCCATAAAGAGTAACTATTAAGAGAGATTTGGTTATTTGATAAGGTAAGAACTGTAACTAAAATAAAATGCGAGCGAAGCGAGCCATAAAGAACACCATCAATAGAGGCCTGGTCAATCAGTTAGATTAGAACTATCAATAAAACAAAAAGCGAGCGAAGCGAGCCATAATGCTAGACCATCAAAAGAGTCCTGATCAATCGATTATGTAAGCAACGTGTCTAAAACAAAAAGCGAGCGAAGCGAGCCATAAGGAGTAACTGCTAAGAGAGATTTGGTTAATTGGTAGGGTTAGAACTATGGCTAAAATAAAATGCGAGCGAAGCGAGCCATAAAGGACACCATCAATAGAGACCTGGTCAATCGGTTAAATTAGAAGTACGAAAAAAACAAGCGAGCGAAGCCAGCCATAACAAACGGAGACCTGGTCAATCGGTTAAGGAACAATGACCAAATGTGCTTATAAGTGTGCTTTTTAGGTCTGAGGCTGAAATTTCAAAATTTTATCTAGAAAATTTATCATTTTTCACGGTTTTTACTTTATAGAGCTGATTTTGGCGTTATTGATAACAGTTTTCAGATTACTTACAGAAAAAAAATGTATTCAGTTGAAGTGTTGCCGGATGATAAAAAAACTGTTTTTTTTTTTGATACTGTAATTTTTAGGAAATTTTCTATTGATTAAGAATCAAAGACTACAAGGTGATCTATACAACATTCATTTTAAGTTTTTCAACTGAATATTTCTTTTTATATTGCGTGTAACCTGGCAAACTTTTTTTATGTATGATGCTTTGCGTACTTAAAGATCTTTACTAACTTTTTCTAGGCAATCTTATAATGTAAACCCAACATAACAAGAGGCGAACTTAAAACCCCTATATTTCTATTAAGTGAATATTAACTTACTTTAATATTCACTTGAATAAGAATAAGAGAATAAAAGACTATGAGCCGATCTGTTCCAAATATTATTTTAGTTTTGCTTGTGTTTTTTAACTGAATATACTTTTTTTCTATTAAGTGTAAACTGGCAACCCTTTTTCTTTGACGTATGGTGTCTAAACACCTTCTATTTGAAGATAGAACTTAGGTACTTACTTTAATATGTGATTTCTAACTATAAAACAAACATAACAAAAAAAAATCGAATAACTCAAATTTTGCAACGGAGGCAGACTTAAAAACTGGCCACGATATCGGTTCCCTTTTCATATTATAAATAAAACTTACTTATAATGTATATATTTTAAATTGACAGCAATGCACAAATATTTTTTATGTATGCTCATGAACTTTGTAATAAGTATAGCAACAGAAATCTAAATAGGTTTATTATTACATATGGGTTAGGTGAGGTTAGTGTATGATAAATAACGAACGAACGCCAGAAACGAATCGCTTTTGTTGATAGTAACATTTGGTTTATAATACTGACTATGAGCAATCCAGCCCGCGCAGTTACCATTTTAATTTCAGATTTGATTATGATTCACTAGACAATTCGGGAGCTTTATATATAGCGTGTATATGGATCATTCGTTTCCCAAATTTTTCCAACTTTTGACACGATAATTATTACTTAAAGTACAATTTCCTATACCTTTAGAGTAATGAAAAATTATGTTCTTTTTTTATTCAAACTAATTTGATATTGTAACTTAATTTCTGTAAAATAGTTTCAATAAACGCACACATCTTTTCGCAAAGTTTAGGGATATAGAGTATTTATTCCAAGTTTTAAAATATAAATAATGATTAATAATAGTAACACTTACGGAAATATATGTTCGATTGTTGTTGTTAATACTAAAAATTAATTTACTATTGAATATGAATATGAGTGTAAAATACTACAATCCTATCTAGCGTTTTTCGACTGAATATTTCATTTTCTATTGAGTGTATGATGCTTTGTGTACTTAAACAACTTTAATTTGAAGATAGAAATTACTAATTTTTACTAGGCAATTGTATATTGTAAACCTAACATAACAAGAGGCGGACTTAAACCCCAATATGTCTGTATTAAATAAATATTAACTTAGACTTAGACTAGAGAATAAAAGACTGCAAGCTGATGTGCACAAAACTTATTTTGAGTTTTGCTTGCGTTTTCGAATGAATATTTCTTTTTCTATTAAGTGTCAACTGGCAACACTTTTTCTTTGATGTATGGTGCTTTGTGTCCTTTAACACCTTTTATTTGAAGATAGAACTTACTGACCTTTTCTAGGAAATTTCAAACTGTAAACCCGACATAACAATAGGCGGACTTGAAATCCCACCGCCCCGATTCCACAAGCTACTCGTTACCTCCCCGGGCTGCTCGCAGCCCGGGGCAACCAAGCGAAAGCTAGTATATATATATATAATTAGTACGCTCTCCCACTACAAGTTAGCAACTACCCCCAACTCCTATATAAGAAGCGCGCACGTTACCAACGGCTCATTAGCTGGCTGGCGCTCGGACTGTGAACATTGCTCTTGTCGTGACCTGTTTGTGTGGTATATAACTTAATGTGTTATTTATGGTGAAAATTCTGGTATGTTGATTTGTTTTTGTTAATTTCGTAATAAATTATTTTGAGGTAATTAAATTGGTGATTTGTTTACATAAAATTAGAATTAAATTATTGTTACCGGTGATCGTTGTTTTCTTTTTAAGAACTTATACTTCTGGAACCTAAATTCAGAAGTGGGATAGCAAAAGCATCCATACCCATTCATTGGGCTCGCCATTTAGTACCGAACAAAACACCAATTTTTTAGTCTTTGCGCGATTAGTTCACTTTCTCTTACGCGTCTTTTTGTTTGCTATAACCATGTCCGATAGATTGCGGACGCCCCATAACAGGTCGCGTCACGGCAATGTCGATAGGTCTCGCAGTAGGCCGCGTAGACGTGATTCTAATCGTGAGCCGCGTGGGCAGAGCCCTGGCTGTAGATCTTATAGGCGGAATAATGATCGTAGGTCGCGCAGTCGCACTCGAACGCCCTCAGCGTCACGTGATGGAGGTTTTATCATGCAGCAGACTTTAAATTCAATTTTAACAAAATTGAATGCACTTGAAAATAATAACATTTTGTCGAATAATACTCATAACCGTGAATGCGTGGTTCAAACAGGATCGGTGGTTACTTGTGCTCAGGATCTACCCGAAATGACAGCTGATAGGGCGGTTCTGATGAGACGCCGTTTTGATGATATTGAGGTTAGGGATTGTAACAACGAGTCAGTTCAGCCTAATAAGTCGAATACCTCTCGATTTAATACGTCAGTAATTTCGATGACCCCTCAAAATAGTCGTGATGTCTCATCTTTACGGCGTGATCGTAATTCTGAAATACCCGAATCTACTCGCTTACTAGCTGAGGCAATTCGATCATTAAATCCTTCCAGGTCACAAGATTATTTTGTATCAAACTTTGACCCCGCCATTCACGACGTCGAAGCATGGTGTGACGAGGTCGAGAGGGCCAAGCTTACAAATAACTGGCAAGATTCTGAATGTCTTTCTCGTGTGTCGAATTGCCTCAAGGGCGACGCGCGTACATGGTTGAACGAATGGGTGACTAGTGATCGTACGTGGACAAACTTCGTTCGAGAGTTCAAGCCACTGTGCCCACGAAAATTGGACTATGCTAATATTCTTTTCGAGACTATGAACACTAATTCCGATAAGTTTACATCGTACTCTGAGTACGCGCGACGCACCTTATTACGTTTGCGAATAGTGAAAGGTCTTAGTGCCGAGCTTATGGTGTTGATTGTTATTAGAGGTATTACGGATCCGCAAGTCCGAGCGACAGCAGCAAACGCGAACTTGACTACGGATGATATAGTTTCTTTTCTTTCTATTTATACTAAGCCCGTCCGCAGCAGACAGGACTTTAGACCAATACAAATTAAGACTCGTCCTTTGACTGACCCTGCATATGGTAACATGAAATGTTTTGGCTGCGGGCGAACTGGGCATAAACATATCAACTGTCCGAATAAGAATAAATTTAATTTAAACGCCCCGAAACAGCCGCCGGTAGTCAGTCAAACGAATAGTGTCTTGTGTAGCTTCTGTAAGTAACCGGGTCATAACGAAGATACGTGCTTTACTAAAGACAGGCAATACTTAACTCAAACTTTAGTTAACACTGTATTTCAAGTTAACTCAATTGCAGGTGACAAATCCATTACAGTTAACACCCCTCTTGAAGAGTTCGTGTTAAAAGTAATAGGCGAGTTCTCAGAATTTTTTATTAGTGGTACTGCAACGACTACGGTTAATACGGGTAAGATGTCGATCAAGGTCACGGATGATGTTCCGGTTGCTTACCGTCCTTATAGACTTTCTCATGAAGAAAAGCTGAAAGTTAGACAGATCATCAAGAACCTTTTGGCATTATCCGTGAGTCCAACTCTGAATACGCTAGTCCTATCGTCCTCATGAAAAGGAAGGACGGTAGTGACCGCATGTGCGTCGACTATCGTGCGCTGAATAGGTTGACTGTACGGGATCGTTATCCGTTACCACTGTATTGTGTGTATATCAAAAAAAAGAGTGCCTAGAGCGCCCCATCAACCCATATCATCTTGGGAAAAACCAAGCTCACCGATTAATACTTTGCATTTGGATGCACTAGGACCCTTGCCAGAGTCCGGACGCTATAAGTTTGTTTTGTTAATAGTAGATTCGTTCACTAAATTCTGCCTACTTTACCCAATCGTTAAACAAGACGCGAGTGAATTGAAACGTACTTTTACTAATGCGACTTCTTTGTTTGGCGTCCCTAAGCTTATTATAACTGACCGTGGGCGAATGTTCGAGTCCTCCCAATTCACATCATTCATTTCCGAACTTGAATGTGACATCCGTTACATAACTCCAGAAATGCATAATTCGAACGGGCAGGTCGAAAGGTATGTAAGGACTGTCCTAAACATGATTAGAATCAAGGCAAATTATAAAGGTGCCCCCCGGTCTGAACAACTGTGGAAACTTCAGCTAGCCCTTAACATGACGAAGCAGAAGACGACGCAAGCTTCCCCAATCAATCTTCTGGTAGGTATTGATGTTGCTACTCCGCTCATCCGATCTCTTATACGAGACGTAGCTGTAGACAACTCTCAAAACCGAGAGGCCTGGCGGGAAACTTGTAGGAACAAGGCAAGTGCGCTGCTTAAGAAAAACCAAGAGCAGCAAGATACTCGCGTCAATCAACAGCGACGTGCACCTCGTAAGTTTAATGTTGACGATTTGGTATTGGTTATCAAATGTTCACAGGCGACGGGCAAGCTGGATCCCGGCATGCGCGGGCCTTACCGGGTCGTGAAATGTCTACCAAGCGACAGGTACGAGCTGAAGCTGCTGAGTGGGTCCTATGGGAAGACCACGCAAGCTGCAGCTCAATACATGGTTCCCTGGCGTGGGGAGTGGTGCTCCGATTCCTGTGCTGCTTTCTTCGAGCGTAAGTGAAACGGCACTTGCTACCTAGTGCATGGTCATGACTTAACTTGCTATACTTTAAGTTCCAAGTAGATAGGTTAAAGTAAGATAGGTTAGATTAAGCGAGTTAAGTCATTATCAGTGTACTTTGGTGCTGGTTGGTGGACATGCGGACTCTATGCCTCTGTCCTTCGTGCAGACACGCGGACTCGATGCCTCTGTCTTACGTGCAGACATGCGGACTCTATGCCTCTGTCCTACGTGCGGACATGCGGACTCTATGCCTCTGTCCTACGTGCGGACATGCGGACTCTATGCCTCTGTCCTTCGTGCAGACACGCGGACTCGATGCCTCTGTCTTACGTGCAGACACGCGGACTCGATGCCTCTGTTCTGTGTTGAGATACGCGGACTCAATGCCTCTGTCTCATTTATAGGTATGCGGACTCAATGCCTCTGCCTATTGCATAAGTGTATGGATTTGAAACCAAATCTAAAACTAGGGAAACAAAGAGAGCTCTCGAACTTATCTGTAATAGTAAATTGCTATAAAATGTTATGCGTGCAAGGGATGTATGAAAGATCATTATTACCTATTTAACTGTGTAAATAATACTCGTGTGGGTCATAAAGTCTATTAACAGAAAAACTGTAAGGTTGGAATCGCCACAGTAGCAAAGCTCCGACGACAACGAGCCCGTTGCTGGACCGACGTGGGCACCAGACTACAGGTCAACATTGCCAAGCTTACCGTGACTTGATTGGACTCCGGTCATCGAGGAGTCGAGGACAACTCCACGTCAGGAGAGGCCGAATTAGTACGCTCTCCCACTACAAGTTAGCAACTACCCCCAACTCCTATATAAGAAGCGCGCACGTTACCAACGGCTCATTAGCTGGCTGGCGCTCGGACTGTGAACATTGCTCTTGTCGTGACCTGTTTGTGTGGTATATAACTTAATGTGTTATTTATGGTGAAAATTCTGGTATGTTGATTTGTTTTTGTTAATTTCGTAATAAATTATTTTGAGGTAATTAAATTGGTGATTTGTTTACATAAAATTAGAATTAAATTATTGTTACCGGTGATCGTTGTTTTCTTTTTAAGAACTTATACTTCTGGAACCTAAATATATCATAATTATTCTGTGTGTATTTATAGCGATTCAATTAGCCCACTTGATGATCATTTTTCTTGTTAAATGTTAAAATAACAAGGAATCATGATTAATTAAAACGTTTAATAATGGACAAGTGTTCCAAGCAATTTGATATTTAGTTTTGGTAATTATTTTGCAACAAAGTGCTATTAATAGTAAATTATTTATTTATCATTAACTTTACTTCTCGCCATTATTAGCCAAGTGATAAAGTTTTATAATTGATGACCCCGGGGGTTGCGTCGTCATTTCTGAAGACCTGGGTTCGATATCCGAATTACATTAACTTTTTTATATTGTCTCAGGTTTGAATTTTGGATGACCGCCGTGTTTTAGATTTATAGTCATAATATAATTACTTATTTAATTTAAGATCTGAGCAATGTCATACAAATTAATGATTATACAATATTTATATTTATACTCATGAATGATAGAATTGCCTATTGATAATCGATTATCCCTAAAATATTTAAGTTGACATCATATTATTGTGTCCATAGTTTTGCTTACAATCAATAGTAGGTTTTAGTAAATTTGTGCTCGACACTAACAACAGAATCTGTAGTAGTACTATCAATTTTGTCACTAATAATAGAGGTCAATTTTCATTAGGAAAATCAGCGATTTATATTAACTTTCAGGTTCATTTAATTGTAAATAAAACAACTTTTAAATGGTTTCATAGCGTTTGTATTTAATTTTATAGCATTTCGGACTCTTTACAGGTTCCGTGTTTACTTAAGACACTTATTTGGCTGGGACTAATAGCTTAATGCGCCTTCCGAAGTACGGAGTAGCTTGAGATGATAATTTTTTTTTCACCCATCTCGTGAGTTGAGTACTTTACATAGCTAAAAAAAGTTTAAAATATTGACCGCGAATTTCGTTCCTTGAGCGAATTATTAGCTTACTTGGTGTGATATCGAGACAATGCACATTAGGTTTACGGTACACTTTATAGTGAAACATCAAAAAAAGATGAACACATAAAAAGTCTTTGTTGCTACGCTGAAATAAAACACAGAATATGAAAAATTTAAAAAGAATGGTACAACTAATGTTTATTTATTACGACCTAATTAAATTTTCAAAGGAGAGAAATAAACTCAGATAAAAAAATCAAATCGTATCTTTGGCATATAAAAGGTGTCATTATAATAACAACCTTTTTATCGAATAATTATATAATGTAGATAGATAAACAGCACTACAAACTTTACTTTTAGAATGGAAATATAGCTAGATGCACATGTTTTAGAGTAATTTTTAAAATTTCAACTTTAATAGATATGACAGCCTTCGATATTTATTTCATTGTCATTTATCTCTAATTATAAAAATAGAAAGATGCAATATTTGGAGATTTGGTTTGTTACCGACAAACTACATTTTTAGTTATCTAAGCAAGAATAATCGTTTCAGTTTTTGTTAGTGAAATATTAAAACAAATAATCACGAAGTTCCCCAAGGCAGGACTTTAGGTCTATTATCGTTTATGTGAACAGTCTTCCTCAAGTGCTGAGTTGGACGTGCATCCTTTTTGCAGATAAATTAAAATTTATATATAGGACGGCTGAATGTATAAAAACTATAACCATATAAAAATCAAAACACTTTCAGAGGGAAAAATTGATGTTATCATAAATTGAATATTATCGAATCGAAAAAAAGACATCTTTAGCCCGAGAACCGATTTATTGATACTTTGCTAAAATAAAGTAAAAACTTATATATTTTGTTGGAAATTGATTTAATAAACTAAAAAAAAAATACTCACATAAAAAATTGAAGACACTCCTTTCAGTATATTATAACAATATAAGTGAAAATGTACAACGGTAGCGACCGGAAGTGAGAATTGTTAGATCGCGCCATATACCTAGGTTAAAGTACCTACCATAATAGAATATGTATATAAATAAAAAAAGACATTATTAGGTAATAATAATATTAAATTTCTCTCAATTTGTTACTCAATGGATGAAGTGGTGAAAAGCACATTAATTAGCTTTCTTGGAATAGTAATAAGATCCTTACAATAATGGGCATTGAATCGCACTTCGTAGAAAAGTTAATTGTTTCATATTTGCTTTACATTGATTAATAAGCTTACGAGCACGTAATTAATATTTTAAAATAAGGTTAAAATATTAATATATTACATGATTTTTGCATTCAAAATGCATATAATATAATACATATATTAATAATAATAAAAATTATCTAAGTTCGAAACTGTGTAATCAAACAAAATAGAATAATTGTATTCCATTTCTATTTAGTGATAAATGCCTACGTGGACAAATATGCATAATATAGAAGCCCATATAGACTGACATAGGTACGGACATTTCTTTAACCCAAATGAACAGATATCTTAAAATTATTCTCCTTTCTTTTCTTACATAATCGCGCTTTTCCACGCAAGCGCCCCCATTTAAAATGTAATCAACAATCTTTGCGTAAAGACACGAAACGTGCCAGATTATTCGAGTGAGTTGTTAGAATTCGTGCTACGGTTAGGGATATCGTTTTTTTTTTACCGAATCCCAATGAAATTTCTCTATAATATCCAATTTAACTAGACACAATTCGGTTCGCAAATTTAAATAAACACTTTCCCTTTTTTAAGCCAAATTATTTTTAAAATGCCAGCCATGCGAAGTGCGGAAAAAGCAAGAGAGGGTAATTAAGCCCTTTCATTTTATACCCTACACTGAATTATTGAATAATATATATTTTTTATTTCTTACTTTATGCTTTCTAGAGGGCGCTGTTGCCAATTTAATGTAACCTCACATAACCTGTAGCGCATAACTAACACGCTTCTAATGATACCTCATTTATCCAGTAATAATGAGTAGTTTCGAAGTTGAACACAGATGAACATTCTTATATACATATATCCGCTAAAATCATAACCTTCCTTTTCGCTTCGCCGTAGTCGGGTAAAAACTAGAGACGATTTTACATTAAATAATATATATATAACTGTTCTTATGTTAAATATGTTTTATAATTTTTTAAAACTTCTGTCTAACTAACGTCCGGAGTGGTTAGTGTAAATTTTACGTTAATTTGTGAACTAGTGAGTGCGTTAAGTATTTGTATGGAGATTTGTAGTTCTTGTTTGTTACTATTAGGGGCGCTGTAGCGGATTCCATACTATATTTCCTGGGTTCTATAGTTTCCTGGGATGTTCTGGGCAGTTTTTAAGCTACATCCTGTGGATAAATTGTCTAATTCACAAGACCTAAAGTGATGGTGATAGTGATTTATAGAATTATACAACTTTTGTAGTCGCAATCATTTTGAAACGAATTATGGTTTGAATGATTAAGAAACATAATAAAAATTTACCTTAACCCATCGAAAGATTGTAAATACCTTTGTTTTTAAATTTCCCATAAACTTTCAAATATACTTTGCTCCTAACACTTGCCTTTCTGGATGGGTGACCAAAAAATTATCTCGTGTTACTCCGTGCTTCGGAAGGCACGTTAAGCCGTTAGTCCTGGCTGCATTTGCAGTTGTTATTACCCTTCAATCTGCATTGGGCTAGCGTGGAGGGTCATGGCCCATCCTCCTTAACCATTCCTCCTTAACCATCCTTAAGGAAGACCTGAGCCCCTGCAGTGGGGACGTAAAAGGGCTGATGATGATGATGACATAGTTATGGAGTAAAGTTCTATTGCTAAATTAAAAGGGTTTATGATAGACTTTAAAATTAGACAATTAGGTCCCTGAGTTTTTAAGGTGCTTTGGTATGTTTCTTACGTTAGGACACAATTGTACTGTGCAGCGGGATCGCAGGAGCTTTCTTTTTTGTTTATGTAACAAAGGAAATCATGATATAGTTTCCTTCTTCTTTGTCTATAGCATTACCATGTCCTGTTTTTAAATTGAATTTTGATGGGTTTACATCATCGTATTTTAAAATTTAGTGTTGGCAACCCTAAAACATGACAAGTTTTAATGAGACACAAGCGAGAGTTTTTGGCATGATTTGATAGTGTTATAAGTGTATGTCGATGTAATGTTTCAAGTTTCTATGGAGCGGTATAAAATAATACATGGAATATCTAAATAGATGCAAAATATTGGAAACGTTGCTCTTGGTTAGGTAAAATTAACTGGAATAAATTTGGTATCGAATTCCTGTGTTCGGTGAAACATATCGGCAACAATTACGGCTCAAATTCCAAGCCCGTAGATTAGAATTTACGAGTATCTATCGACTGGGTTAAGAAACGGTTAATGGACAGTGACTACACTGTTATATATTCCAGAAAAAATAATGCTAACCCGAAGCTGGCCTTACAGTGATTGATTACACATATGTATATTTTATTTGCTTTCTAATAAAAGTAATCTAAAAAGAAAAATCATTAAAATGCTGTCTGTAATGATTTTTCTGGAATTAAATGGTAGGTAATGGAAACAAAATAAAATCAAAGGGATATCTATATTTTTTTTTAGCTACGAAGTATTTATTTTTATATTTAACATGATTAAATAACATTGGATTAAGTAAAAAAATAGTTCAATCGTTTTATTAATAGCTCCGTTGAGTTAATTTTCAATTATATGTAAAAGCTCTCTCGCCTATGAGTTATATATATATTTATACTGAGTAGCTTATAGTTTATTTTAAGTATTTGTTAACATCCTGGACTATTTTTAGGAATTTGTACTTTTAAAAGAAGGAATTTGCACTTTTACGATGCTACTGATTGCATGGATATTTGTAAATATATGAATACATGTGTAGACAGTAAATTTTTTCCCAATAGTGTTT